TGAAAGTACCATACAGGCCATTTAACTTAATTCTCCCACTTTACACATAGGAAGCCTAAGTCTAGAGTGATATGAGAAAATTAATATGGGTAAAGTTGAGACTAGAATACAGTGTTTAAAATTCTGTGTCCATGTATTCTTCCTAAGATAGTACTAAGATGCTATCCTGATTTCTGTTATATATGTGTTTCAGCACTGGACTGTGAACTATAAGGTCGTCAATTTAAACCCACCAGCAGCTCCTGGGATACCCTATACAGGGTAGCTATGGGTTGGAACAAACTCAATGGGACTTAACAACAACTACAACATATATTTGTGTGTGTGTGTGTGTGTGTGTGTGACTTCCCCAATAAAACTGTAATTACTTGGATACATTCTATATCCTATACTACTGAATTCCCCAAAGCATCTATTAAAATAATTGTCATTGAGTAGGTGCCAGTGACTGTGAAGATGGCATTGGACCAAGCCTGTTGTACATGGAGTCACCACGAGTCAGCGCCAACTTAATGACAACTAACAGAAAGGAGCTCAGTAAATTCAGGTTGAAAAATGCACTGATTTGCATAAGAACTTTTCCCCCTCCTGTTAGAAAAGACTGCAGATTTTTAAAGATATCCTGACACTTTGGGCAAACTTGAGCCTATGAGCTCTTGTTACATTCCATCTTAGAATTAAATAATTCTCTACAGAAAATATTCCACTCATTTAGATTTGGGTTAGGATATAATGCCTTCATCCTAGCCGAATATCGAGGGGTGCATTGTTTTGTCAGAGGAACAAAGGGGTATGTGTTTAGAGAATTACTCAGAAGCAAATCTTCACCCAAGAAGTTCTGTATAAACATTAACTTGGCTATACAGCCTTTGTCCAGCTGGGTTCTTTAAAATTTACCCAGGCAAAAAAAAAAAAAAAGACAGACCCTAAAAAGAAAAAAAAATCACTAAAACTAGAAGCTGATAGCTAAAATCCTCTTCAGTTAAAGCATCCAAGTCAATACAACAAATATTTACATTAAAACTGAATATTTAGAAAATGTTTCCAAAAATGTGATAGGATTGAATGTTAACATACATCTGTTTTTAGACATCCTTCAGAGAATCCCCAACAGGATTGTGTTCTGCCATACCAGTCAGGAGAAACAGGAATCAATAGGACATTTCTGCCACTCAGTTCTGTCAAGGGATTGGGGTTCTCCCTTGCTCCCTCCAGTACTATATCACCCACCCTGCTGCCCTGCCATCCGGGGAGTTAGAGTACACAAAGAGGACTACAGCTGATTCCCAATCCTGGATAAGTGTCTAGTGCCCTAGAAGACAAAGAAGTGATGAACAGATCATGGTGATGACCAGCAGACAAGTGATACATGACGGAGAAAATACAACTTACGTCTCTCTTTCACGTTAAGATTTAAAAGAATTCATTAAAAGCTACCAGATTTTTGATTATACTAATATTGAACTGGAGTCGTGGAGTGGCACTGTGGGTTAATGCACTGGACTGCAAAGTCAGTTTGAAACACAAGGTCGACGGTTCAAGCTCATCAGCCGCTCCTCGGAAACTCTATACAGCATCTCTATGGGTCAGAAAAAACTTGATGGCACTTAACAACAACAACAATATCCAACTAGGTAATTATGGCAAAAATAAATGCAGCAACAACACAACAGAAAATATAATAACAAAACATATTACTTGGACAAGCACTAAATTTATTGGATTGTTGTGAAACCGTATTCTTTGCTTTAGCAAGGTGGATGTTGTCGGCAACATTTGCTCTGCCTAACCTCTGATCAGAAATCACTAATAAGATGTGGTGCTATCTTGAACAATTGCCTTGAGAACAGGAAAATCATTACACTGAGAGTTGGCTGATGCTTATTTAGTAGTATGTGAACTAGTTTGACAGACTCCTGAGCTCAACGTTAATTACTACTTTTCCTGCAATCTCATCGTGCTTTGTTTATAGATTTCTAAAATACTTATGCATTGTATCACTATCATTTGTGCTTCTGTGTGTTGTGACCACTAAATCGTGAGCTATGGAGAGCTCATTTGGGTCTTGTTCCTCTTTGTGTTCCTCTCAGGGCAAAGGGTAGAGTTTTATAAGTATTAGATAAATAATAAATGTTGAATAAATGAATGAAAAATGAATACATTAATTACACAAAAGCCAAACTCAAACAAACAACTAATAGCAACCCTACATATATGCTGTCTATGTAGTAGCTCTCCAGACTGACATTTTTATGTTTTACCTCACTGGATCAATAGAATCCAACCTAAGATCTGAGAATTGTTCAATATTTCATATCTGTTGTCCCAATTTTATTTCTCTCTATCCTCCACCAATCTCATGTGGATGACAAAATCTATTACTATTATTTGAAGTTTTTTAAATAGAAAAAAATCGTTTAGTTAAAAATAAATGGCAGGTAATTTTAGCAAACAACAAGGTAAACATTACACAATGCCAAGTATCATAAAGAATATATACCAAAAATGGCTCATTGCGTCTTCATTACTGATTGTTTCTTTTAGTGGAGGATAGTCTGTGGTAGTTCTTTCAGAGGCAGCCCTAATGGTTACGTAGTCACCAACTTCACAAAAGGTTCGAGGTTTGAACCTACCCAGAGGCACCATGGAAGGCAGGCCTGGTCATGTCTTCATAACAAAATACCACAAAATGGGTGGTTTTAAAGAATAGACACGCATCTTCTCTCTGTTGCCGTGTGAGGCTAGAAGGCTGACTTCCAGGTGTCAGCAAGTCTGAAAGGCCACAGCTCTGAAGCACTTGTGTTCTGATACTCATGGGTCACTATGAGTTGAAAATGACTTGATGACAACTAATAGGTTATTTCAAAGAGGCTCTCCAACAGTAAACTTGCTCTGCCCTTTTAGGTCTCAAAATACCTTTATATCATCTTCACATCTGAATACTAATTTTGCTAGATGTAAATATCTCCAGTCTTCCTAATTCATGGTCCAGCTTTCACACACATATGAGGCAAATGAAACGTTGATTGAAGATCCAAGTAAAATGAAATCTTGTGCAACTTCAATATTTTCTCAGTTTATCAAGATGTTATTTATTGGTCCAGTTGTGAGGACCATAGTGAAGGCTGTGGTCTTTGATCTTCATCACTAAGTATTTTGAGTCCTCTTGGCAAAGTTATGTCACCTGTGTTTTGAAGGTTGTTAAAGAGTCTTCCTCGAATCCTGGTGCCATGTCCTTCTTCATATAATCCAATTTCTCGGATTATTTGCCCAAGATACAGACTGAATAAGTATGGCTAAAGGATAGACTTCTGGCCCACACCTTTCTTGATGTTAAGCAATTCTTGATGCTCTTATTCTGCTCAATTGACTGCCTCTAGGTTTATGTGCAGTTTCTCATGAACACAATAAAGTGTCCTACAGAATATCCATTCTTCATAATGTTACCCATAATTTGAAATTATCCACACAATCTAAAGCCTTTGCACAATCAATTAGGCATAAGTAAGCATATTTCTAGTATTCTCTGCTTTCAGCCAAGATCCACCTGACGTCAGCAACAATTTTCTTTGTTCCGTGTCCTTTGAGTTGCTCTCAACTCATACTGATCCTATATGGGGTTTTCCAGGCTTTAAATCTTCACAGGATCACAAAGCCTCTTGGTTCTCCCGTGGAGCCGCTGGCAGGCTTGAACTGCAGACCCCGTGGCTCGCAGTCCTGTGCTTCAGCCTTGAAAATCCTAAGGGATGGTTCAACTCTGTCCTATAGCGTCATAACCAACTTAACAACAATGGGATTTTTGGGTATCCTAGAGGAATGAGAAGTCCTGGTGTGTTGCTGTAGGATAAGCACTGGACTGCCAACAACCAGGTTGGTGCTTCAAGCCCACCAGCTGCTCCTTGGAATCCCTATAAAGTGTTGTTATGAGTCAGAACTGGTTTGATGATACAAAAGAGGAGTGAGAACTTTACATATAACAGAAGTTTTGTGAAAGATTTCTCATATTCTAGGCCTACCTCTCAAATTGCCACAACGTAGAAGAATGAACACTAGTTTCATTGCTTGTATTATTTACTGTTTCCCCTGGTGAGAGAGGACAAGGTGAAACGGTAGCATACCTTTAGAAAAACCTTGCATAACGCTATTTCTTATTTGAATATAGAAAATGCTAGTAGTGGCTTGTAAGCTCTGTCCATTACTATTGTTGTTTTTATGTGCTGTTGAATCACTTCTGACTCATAGCGACTCTGTATAGGGTTTCTAGGAGCAGCTAATGGGTTTGGACGGCTGATCTTGTGGTTCGAAGTCCAGTGCTGATCTACAGCGCCACCTCAGGAGTCCAGTCCATTACTACCACCCCACAAATGCTTCATATGCAGAACAGAAACAACAAGAAAGCCCACCACTGTGGCTCATGATCAGAGAGAGAATGAAAGCTACACGGTGTCACTGATATGCCATATGGCTGCAAATCTAAAGGCTCTGAAAGATGCCGCATCTGTATAAATCCCTGAATACCTGCTTTCATTCCCATTTACAGTGTCTGAACTATAATATATGGGCCATCTATTTATTAAAGGAGACGGCTTACTTTGGCATGGGATAAATTGGTGCTTCCAGCAAGATGCTGTTTAATACAAAGGACGCTTAAATCTGAGATCCACAGCTTAAGAGTGTGTGGTGTATGCGTTTTTAAATTGCATGACTCTTATACAATCTCTTTTCTTAGTTGGCATGAGAAGGATATTCCCATCCTCTTTATGCTCTCTGCTCTTTACTTCCTCAAAGCTGAGGCGGCGAAAACACTGCCAGCCTTATCCAGCTTTTCATGGAAAGCCGCCACTCTGAACTGGCGCCTAAATGCAATTTCAGACTATCCCAGGAGACACTCATGCTTTGAGGTGAATTTATAACATTAGGGCCAACAAAGAAGTTAACACAAACTTTCACTGTGAAAAGGAAGAGAAGAAAAGAAAAAAACAACCAGTCTGCTGGCTTACTGGAGGAGCTCTGCTTCTGTGAGTGCCTCTGTCCGCTGCTCCCCTGTAAGAATGGCCAGTTCATCCTTGAGCTCCTGTATTTCCTTCTTTAGCCGGACAATCATCTACAAACGAAAGGCGGGAGAGTCAAAGTCTACTTCTCATGAAGATACACTTGGAGACAGAAAACAGGCATCTTTTAAAATGATTCAATATTTTAAGGATACAAAAATATAGAGAACGACATGCAAAGCACTCGCATACCTGTTATTGCCAAGTGCCACTGAATTGGTTCTGATTCATAGCGACCCTGTATAGGGTTTCCGAGGAGCGAGTGGTGGGTTTGAACTGCCAACCTTGCGGTTCAAACTGACATTGCAGTTGAGTGTTTATCCTACACAACTCCAATCCCTACCACTCAGCTTTGCCATAATAGTTCTAGAATCTTTTCTTTTAGCAAATACAACAGCACTGCTGTAACTGGAACCCTCTTGTATAATTCTTCAGTCCCTTTCCCTTTCCATCCTTCCTGGGGTGATAACTATACTATGTTTGTTGTTGTTGTGAAGTGCCATCCAGTCTGTTCCGACCCATAATGACTCTGTATAGGGTTTCCGAGGAGCAACTGGTGAGCTTGAACCTTATGGTTCCAAGTGACTTTGCAGTCCAGCACATTAACCCACAGCACCACACCAGGACTTCATACTGCATTTGGTAGGCATCATTTCCCTGTATGCTTTTATACATTCACTCCACATGTAAGGGTGGATGCATAAATTGTGTATGATATCATTCTGCATGTCTTAAATTTTATTTAAATGTTATCACACTGTATGCAATTGCAACTAGTTTCCTCCCTACTTTATTGCTGTGAAATTATTCACATTGCTTGGTGCGGTTCTGGGTCATTAGTTTTCATGGATATATGTATGTAATATTTTAGCAAAGGAATGTATCACAATTCATTTATTGGCCTCCTGTTGATGGGCATTTAGGGTTTTCACTTTTGCTGTTGCAAATACTGTTGCTATGAAACCCACTATGTCAATCTTGTTGGACACACGTGAGAGTGTTTCTACAGTGTATACCTGGAACGAGAATGACTGCATGGCAGCGTATGTGCTTCTTTTCCTGGGTGAATGTTGTTAAACTGCTCTTCAGAGTAGTTGTACACTTACATACCCACTAGCTATATTTGTAAGTCCCCTTCCCGCACACCCTGCATGCATGTCACTGTGTGGAATTCATAGGCATTTAAATTTTGCAAATCTGGCATGTGTAAAATGGCACCTCCTTTGAGTTTTTGCATTTGCATTTTCTTGAGTATTAGTTGAGCTCTTCATCTTTCCATATGTACATGGGCTGTTTGGCTTTCCTCTTTTGTGAGTTATCTATTTGTATTCTTGTCCCTGGTTCAATTATATCGTGTAAGTTGATTTACTTTCCTTTATTGACTTTCAGGCTTCTTTATATATTCTGGATGTGAATCCATTGTTAGTTTTAAGCAGTGCACATATTGTTTGCCAATCTATAGTATCTTTTTCATGTTGAAGTGTTCTTTGTGTTAAATCAAAGCTTAAAATTCTAATGTAATCTAATTTATCAACTTCTTGTTTTGTAACCTGCACCTTCTTAAGGAAAATCTATCTTATGGATACAAAACCATAGAAATATTTGCCCATATATATGTTTTTCTAAAGTTTTAAAGCTTTGTTTTTTTTTCCAATTTGGGTGGAATTTATTTTGTATAAGGTATAAGATAATGATTTAATTCCATTTTATTTTTCTTGTATGGCTAACCCTATGAGGTATGCAACTATAATTTGCAATATGTTTTCATAAATGAGTATATCTGCTTCTGAGATTCTGGTTGAAAATATTTCTAATTTTACTATATATATGCCAATTGTTGCTGTTGTTAAGTGGTGTCAAGTCAGTTCCAACTCATAGTGACTCTCTACAGGGTTTCTGAGGAGCAGAAACTGCCAACCTTGTGGTTCAAACTGACCTTATGTTCCAGTGTTTATCCTACAGTGCCACAGCAGGACTCCATATATGCCAACCAATGCCACACTTTGATTTACTATGTCATAAGATGTGTTGGCTTTCTGCTCCTACAAAGATTTAAAGCATCAGGAACCCTATTCAGGGTTGCTATGAGCCCAAACTGACTGGAAGGCACTTAACAACAACAACAATAGGACAAGCTCCTTCCAGCTTGCTCGTTCTCAAACAGACTTAGCTATTCTTGGCCATTTGTTCTTCCTTATAGATTTCAGACTTAGTTTGCTAAATTCAACCAAAGCCCTACTCAAATTTTACTGGAATTGATTGAATTAAAAGATTAACTTGATGAGACTCATCAAATTAATGATATTGAATTATTCCATCCATGAGCATGGGATATAGCCATCCTTTGATTCCATTTAATATAGATGTATAATTTTCTATAAATTTTAGGTTCTGTGGGATAAGCACTGGACTTCAAACCACAAGATCAGCAGTTCTAACCACTAGACCCTCCATGGGAGAAAGATGGGGCTTTCCACTGCTGTCAAGATTTACACCCTTGGAAAACATATACAGGGTCACTATGTATCTGTGTCCTGTTGAAAGTGAGTCTTGTTTATAAGTATCTTGTTGTTGTTTTTAAGTGCTGTTGAATCAGTATCAACCCATGGCAACCCTGTAGAGGGTTTCCAAGGAGCGACTGTGTATTTGTATATAAAACATAATTAGGTTTTATATCAGACATTTTAAAGTTTTTGTTGCTAATACAAATGGAATATTTGTAAAATTGCATTATCTAATTGCTGGTTTGTGCTATGTCTGAAGATACTTAATTTTAAGTAAGGGTTATGTATTCAGTAAGTTTCTGAACCTTTGTTGGTTCTGCTGATCATTCAATGAAATCAAAGGCAAGTAATGACAAGTTTTCATTTTCCCTAATCTTAAATTGTATTTCTTTTTATTATTTCATTGTCCTAGCTAGGACTTCAAAGTACAATGCTTAGGACATCCCTGTCATGTTGCTTCTAACAGGTCACCTTTAAACATAATACTTGCTGTGGGTCTTTGGTTATATTCTTAATCAGTTTAAGGATTTTAACTTAGATTCACAGTTTAACAAGTCTCTTAAAAGTATGGATGGAAAATAAAATAAAGATGGCTATTTATGTGCTTTTTCTGCATCTACTGAGATAATCATATAACATTTCTCTCATAATTTTGAACGTGGTTGTTGTTGTTAGGTGCCATCAAGTTGGCTTCGACTTATGCACAACAGAATGAAACGTTGTCAGTCCTGCACCGTCCTAACAATAGCTGTTATGCTTGAGCCCAGTGTCGCTGCCACTGTGTCAGTCCATTTCATTGGGGGGGTCTTCCTCTTTTTTGCTGACCCTCCACTTTGCCAAACATGATGTCCGTCTCCAGTGATTGATCACTCCTGACAACATGTCCTAAGAATAAGAGATAAGCCTTCCATCCCCACTTCTAAGGTGCATTCTGGCTCACTTCTTCTAAGACAGATTTGTTTGTTCTTCTGGCAATTCATGGTATTTTCAATATTCTTCATCAGCACCAGAATTCAAATGCATCAACTCTTCTACAGTCCTCCTTATTCACTGTCCAACTTTTACATTCATATGAGGCAATTGAAAAGTCCATGGCTTAGGTCAGGCACACCTTAGTCCTCAAACTGACATTTTCATTCACGAATATTATAAAGAGGTCTGTGGCAGCCAAGTTGTCTAGTGTGATACATCATTTGATTTCTTGACTTCTGCTTCTATGAGTTTGATTGTGGATCCTAGTGAAATGAAGTCTTTGACAATTTTAATCTCTTCCCTGTTTATCATGATGTTATTTATTGGTCCAGTTGTAAGGATTCTTGTTTTCTTTACACCCATCAGGAATTTTGTCATGAGGAACTAAGAATTCTGGAATACTTGATCTTCACAATGTTGTCCATAGTGTGTTTATGATCCACACCTTTGAATGCCTTTGCATAGTTAGTAAAGCACAGGTAAACATATTTTTTTGTATTCTCTGCTGTCAGCCAAGATCCATCTGACATTAGCAATGGTAGCTCCCCTTCCATGTCCTCTTCTGAATCCAGCTTGAATTTCTAGCACCATTCTGTCGATGTAGAATTGCAACCACTTTTGAATTACCTTCAGCAAAATTTTACTTGCATGTGTTAGGAATGACATTGTTTAGTGATGTCCACATTCTGTTGGGGTAAATGTCTCTGGATGTTGTGGATCACCATAATTCATGAAATCATATTTAATGTAGGAACTATTTCAGAATTACACAATGAGCAATCAAGTTAGCTTCTAGTTAGCTTAAGAAATTAGGCCTTTCAAGCCATTCCCAAGCTCCCATCCCTATATGTTATTGTTGTTGTTAAGTGCAGTCAAGTCACTTCCAACTCACAGCAACACTATATTGGGTTTCCGAAGAGTGGCTTGTGGATTTGAACTGGCAACTTTGTGATTAGCAGTCCAATGCTTATCTTACAGTACCACTGTTGTTGTTTGTTGTTAAGTTCTACTGAGTCAATTCCGACTCATAATGACCCTGTATAGAGTTTCCTAGGAGCAACTGGTGGGTTTGAACTACTGACTTTGTGGTTCACAGTCCAGTGATGCTGCTGTGAACTGCCATCAAAGCAGTTTCAATTCATAGTGACCCTGTGTAGGGGTTCCAAGGAGTGACTGGTGGGTTTGAACTGCCGACCTTGTGGTTCCAGCTGACCTTGCAGTCCAGTGGATTATTCTGCAGTGCCACACCGGGATTCCAGCGATAGTCTTTTAAAATTATATTTCTATGTATTTCTCTTTTACTATACCATACTTGTATTTTAGTCTATTTTTCTAAAGACAAATAATCCTCATATATACCCACTGTGCATGTTATCAAGGAGTCCAGTTGGTACCATGGGTTATGTGTTGGACTGCAATCCACAAGGTCGGCAGATGAGATGCCATATCATATAGCATTTTAATGATAATATGGCCACAATCCACCACCCAACTGTCAGTTTGTCCTATTGTAGTGGCTTGTGTGTTGCTGTGATGCTGGAAGTTATGCCACCAGTATTTCATATACCAGCAGAGTC